CTTCATATTCTCTATATCTTTCTGCCACGTCAAATAAGTAAATGACACAATGGAAAAAACCTAAAACAAGTAGTCCTATTTCAAACCACATTTACTTACCAATAAAATTTCTTTGTTGTGACACTTTCTCCGGTTTATAGGACCTCTCTCATATTCTATCTTGTCATATATAAACTCATAGTCATGTATGTCCTCTAACCATCTCATAACGGTTTCCAAACCACTTTTATCGGATGTAAAGTAAAAGCATGGATGGTTATGTATAACGTCTAAAGTTTCTAAAGAGTCTCTCAAAGTCCAGTCTACTTGGTATTGAAAATCCCATGTGTTATAGAACGGCGGGTCCACTATAAAGAAAATATTTTCCTTGTCTTTATATTTTTCATACAACTCTGTCCAATGACATCTCACAAACTCTATACACTCAATATATTTTTCTATGTCCTCTTTGAAAACATTTGTATAGTTGAGATATAAAACTTTTGACATAAGTGTTTCAATGTCATGAACTCTTATAGAACCACTATATAATAGTCTAGCAGATATACTATCCCAGTCTATATATTCTGCTTTTTTCAAAACCTCTCTCACAATATTTTTGTTATCTAATGGTATACGTTCCATCTTACCTATAGGTATCTTTTCTTTTAACTCTTTCAATATATTGTTTGTGTCTGGTATATGTTTGAGACGGTCCATATAGTTGTCGAAGTCATTGCATATAATCTTTGAGTCTGGGAATATTGTATGGCACAAATGGGATATATAGAAACTTCCACCGAACAAATCTACAAATGTTAGACCATTCGGTAGTTTCTTAAGTTCTCTCAATATAATATCTTTACATTTACTCTTATTTCCAAAGAACGGTAACGAAGGTTTTGTAAAATTCATTTATATATAATAATAAAAATGTTTTTTCCTGAAAAGTGACAGAAAAGTGACAAAACATGAAAACATATATAATTTGTGAAAAGCTCCTGGAAGACCCGTATATAAGAACTTCATTTATACTAAACATCTTCAGGGCTAGAAGGGGCGCAGCCCCTGGAAGCCCCACTCCCTTTTTTTTTTTTTTTTTTTTTTTAAAAATATAATTTTGAGATAATTATGTAAATAATATTTTAAATATTTGAATTTGAGGTATAATTTTATAGTAAAATATATTATAAAGAGTATTTATATAAATATTGTAAAATAATATAAGTAATAAAAATTGAGACCCCCTCCCTGTTTTTGATGTTTTGTCACTTTTTCGGTAATTCTTATTGTTTCTAACCAATATGGAAACAAACCTACTTTTGTTTCTGCAGACTATGGAACTACAATGAGATGGGGTCATATTGCTAATCCGGATAGGTGGTTCATAAACTTACAACCTCAATTCCAAGAAGTTGTAGACGCAATGGAAGTGAATGGTGAACCAGATATAGCTGGTATTTTCAGCGCGGCTTTAATGCCATTGAAAGATATGAAAGATGCAGATATTTTGGACCAGTATGAAATGAACATGGCTGATGGAAATATAACACCTGACGTTCTAGAACATTTATCTCAAAGAACTACACAGAACCATAGAGATGGTATATTTGGTGAAGAGTTTAGAAAGAAAGTTATGGAGAGAGAAGGAAGAGAACCTATTGTACATGACCTTGCAAACGAAAGTTTGCAAAATGTCATAAAAAACTTACTTTGCAGACAATGAACTGAGAATGGATGAATATTTAAGAAAACTCAAATGGACAGTACCAAATGAAATGTTAGTATTGAAAAACATGTTCCTTGACAAAATAAAACCAACTACAGAAATAAATGACGCAAGACTGAAACATTGGGTAAAAGCTTTCCCATTCACAAAAGATATTATTGGTAACATGGAAAGAAAACCAGAATGGCTACAAAAACATATATTTGGAAACGAGCTTATTCCATATGGACAAGCTCTGTTTGAAGAGCTTGAACCGGAAACTCAGGAAAGAGTCATGCAAACAATACGCGAAGACTCAAATACAAACTATGACAAAATCTTTCTAGGATATAGGTTACCTGAGATGGGCGACCAGAGCCCAAAGGTAAAAAGGACATGGGAAATTTACAACATACTAGGTGAACATGAGGCAAAGATGCAACAACTTGAAGCAGAGGGCAAGTTACCAAAAGCGACACCAAAGAAGAAGAGTAGAACAAAGTGAAAGTAGTGAAGAAGTAGTAACTTCATCTAGTGAAAGTAGTGGCAATGAAGGAAAAAGAAGAGTTAAAGATTCAGTTAAAAACTCAGTCAGGAAGAAAGTAAAGCTTGGTCCGAGTGGGTTCTATTATGACACATAAATCCAACTATTTCTATATTTTTACCCATATGAAATGTACGCCGCTCAGAATATAACGCCAACAGTTTTGGATGCCATGAACGGAAATGTTTCCGAATGGTATAACGAATGCGACAATGCATTAGAAGGTCAGAAATAGTTCCTGGAACTTATGAATATACAACTGCTGTTTCTTATGGAAACGTAGGTGAGTTTGGAGAAGGTTCTTCAACAACAGTAGATATTGCTTGCGACAGGTTTCATATTATTTCTATTGACAACTCATTCTTATACGTGGAACAAGACATTGAAATAAAACTTCTGCCAAGTTGTCTGACAAGAAAGGTTGCAATGGAATTTTCTATGTCGGATACCAATATGCTCCAGAAGTTTTCATGGGATATAAGATATATTCTAACTCTGACTTAGTTCAAACAGTAACATGGGCAAACTATGAATGGTTCGCTTTGAAACTCAGTACAACCACAAGCTAGAGAACAAACAGACCAGTATGCAACTATTGAGAAATAAGAAGACTTGACCTAACGTTCCAGGAGTTTATGTTAACCTTTCTGGTTCAGATGGAACTGCTGCCACTAAAGTAAAACTGAAACTTAGAGTTCCTTTGTCATCTTTCCTCATCTTCAGGTTTTTAAGATACTTGCCAAACTGGGCAGGAAAAATTTCTATCGAACTTACTCCAAGCAAAAATAACTTAGTCATTGCACCAACACAAGACCCATTCACTCTTACAGACGTAAATGGAACAAATAAAACGTCATTCGCAGAATTTTGCAAAGGCAAGGTTGACTTAGACTTTGGTTTCTCAAACTTCAACAATGAAGTAAACTATTATTTTCAATGCTGCTGGAGATGCTTGGGACCCAGTTAAGTTCACATGCGAACAGTTGAATGCAAGAGAATAGAAAGCAGACTTGCCGTTTATATGTTGGACCCAGATATTTCAAATGCTTTAGCTGCCAAATATATTGCAGTTCCACTTATGTTCCCTATACACCAAATATCTGTCAAAGACTTTGCAGGTGAAGTTGGAAACCAAAATCCAGGAGCCGAAGGTGCAAGAACAGATATTGCTTTAACAACTGCAATGAAACATGCAGATACTATGTTTGTACTGTTCAGACGAACTATAAATGACTATTCTTGTTTCTACAACCCTGGTATTAAATATCATATAAACATAGATGGCAAATATTATCCAAGAGAAGAATATTCTACAGTTGAGGATATGAGGTCATACAACTTGACATTAGATGCTATGAACTTTAACAACAACTTCACAACAACCATTAACCCTGAAATGCAAAGTTCTATTATGCCATATGTGAAAGTATGGACTCATACAGGAGGTCAAAAAACTCAATATACAAATGGAGACCGTTCAAACTTTTGGCTTGGCATTCCATTTGCTGACTCAGAAGACTTTATGGGTGGTATTTCAACTGTTGGTACAGTTCAAATACAATATACTGGTGACAGAGACGGTCCAGATGAATTGAGAGCAAAGAAGTTTACAAAACCAATAGCACTTTTCACGGAAGATGCTCTTTTGAAGATTCGTTCGATGAAACCTGCTGGGGCTCCTCAGATTGGCATAACGACAGCTTCCATCGAGCAGATTTTGGCAGCAGGTCAGTAAGTTGTTCTTGAACTGACTTCTCTCCGTCAAATATTGACAGTACGCCAGTTTTGACATAATATTGTATTATAAACTTTCCTTTAGTAATATCTGTAAGTTTTGAAGTTATATTTTTGTCTGCTTCAAGAACTTTCACCTTTCAGTTTATACCAACTTTCTTTGCTTTATGAAAATATTTAGGTTCAGCAAAGACTGCTATTCTATAACATTTTCCATTGTTTGTGTAAAGAACTATTCTGTCAATGTATTTGTATTGTTTGTGAGTATAAACTTTGTTCTGCTTCAATTCAATAAGATATCCGAATACGTCCATCTTTTTATTCTAAGTAAAATGTCATTTCCGAAAAATAGAAGCATAAGTGTTTCAAAAGGTTTAATGGCGGTGGCAGATGTGAAGTTAAATTCACCAACTCAAACAAACAGTCAAAGTGTTGTTGTCAATGTCAAAGACAGAGATGTTGAAGTGGGGAAACCATACGAAGACGAAGATGGTATAACAATTGTTCCTGTAAAAGAACCAACATATCCTGAAGTTAGCAGAGACTTAAGTTCTGTTGCAGATATTCGAAACGACTACCAACAACTGAAAGACAAACTTCAAACTCAGGAGAAGATTTGTCAAGCTTTAAGTATAATGTTAAACTTGGTCGAACACAACCCTGTAAAAGTGAACTCATATGTCATTGCACCTCATGAAGTTTTGAAAGAACTATTGAAACTTTTGACAGAGGCAGACGATATAAACATCAAAGAAATAGAACCCGACATTAGTTGCTGTGGTGTTTCATATAATGCCATTGACAAGATATACGTTATGAAAGGAGGTGAAACGTTGAACTTAAAATATAGTTTCCCAGACGTTATAAAAATATTTGACGACCACAACATTTCATTAAAGTTTATTTGCTAAGTAAATGGCAGAAGACATAATGGTTTATACTATTACGACTAAAAACCCTGAGTCATATAATTCTATAACAACAAACTTACAAAGTCCTCAAGGACGATATTGTAAACTAACCTTAAACACAATGATGACTAAAGCCTGTTTTGCTCTTTTGACACCAGAAGACTTTATTGTTGTGAATGGTAAAAAATACTCCTTTGAAGATACTTACTCAGATATACCACCAACAGGTTTTGTTGACTTATTTAATACTTTAAGTACGGGTGTAACATGTGCTGCAACTAGAGCAGGTTTCATTATGTTTGGATGTCCGACTGAGTTTACTATAAACGATATGAGCTATAATACAAAACTTATTTCTGGTTTTTACTACCAACAGTTTCCTATAACAGGAAAAGGTGTCATACAAGGAATGTCTATTCCATTGACATTAAGCACACCAATCTTATATATTGTTTCAAACTTAGGTTCAAAGTGTTATTCGAATGTCGACAGAAACTATTATGACCAAAAGATACTTATGCGTATAAACAATACTTTCTCTGCTGGTTTGCCTATTGTTCATTCGAATGCAGAATTTTCAACCTTAGTGAACTCAAACACTTTGGCAAGTATAACGTTGACATTAGTTGACGCAAACTTTGTTCCTGTAAAACTTTTATGTCCTATGTATTTGTCAATGACGGCAGAAAGTTTCGAATTGGAAGATGCAACTGGTGAAAGTATTGTATTACAAGAACAACTTCAACAACAAATAGCTCAAGAACAACAAATGCAACAACAAAGTCAAGAATAAAAAAATATTATTTTTTTATTTTTATAAAAATGTACAGAATAGATGTTTCAGATTTTTATGACTTCCAAGCATTCAGAAATATGTGTCCATTTAGAGATTATAACAAAGCAGTCGAGAATTTGAAACGTTTAGTCATTTATGTTGACTCTGCCCCAGAATGTTATGTCATGAAAGAATGGGATGTTGTCTTTAACAAACCAAGAGCAACAATAGTTTCAGAACAAGAATGTAGACAGAAACTTAAGAAAATAAAAGTTGTACAAGTTGGCATGAAGATGTTAGATGCTTGGGATATCTTATTGTCAAAACTTGAAGATTTTTCAGTTCGTGGTATAAAGTTCTATACACCTTCTCCAAACTTCTATTCTATCTTCACTGGATATAAATACGAACAAGTAGAATGGAAAGAAAATATTATAGAAGCTTGGTTAGACCATGTCAAAGAAATTATATGCAATGGAAACGAAAGAGTCTATGAGTATATCTTATGTTGGTTTGCAAATATCTTACAACATCCAAGTGCTAAAAATGAAACTGCTCTCATTATAATTGGAAAACAAGGAACTGGTAAGAATACTTTCTTTACAGATATTTTGTGCAAACTGTTAGAAGGTTATTCGAATCCGAATATGACAAACTTAGAAAACATCTGTGGCAAGTTTAACTCCTCAATAGAGAATATGAAACTTATAGTTTGCAATGAGCTTCAAAGTATAGATACAACAAAAGTTTTGAACTCAGATGCTTTGAAGAGTCTTATAACAGACAAAGTTGGAGTTGTTGAAAGAAAGTATAAAGACCAAAGAGTTTATGAAAATGTTGCAAACTTCATTATGGTTTCAAACAATGCTGTTCCGATGAAGTTAGAAAGTTCTGACAGAAGATATGTAGTTGTCAGAACGTCAGATTCTCATATGCAAGATACTGAATATTTTGACGACTTAGCAGAAACTTTGACATCTGACTTTTACAACCACTTGTTCTCATATTTCATGACATTAGATATTTCTAAGTTCAATCCAAGACAAATTCCACATACCGAAGAGAGACAAACATTGTTAGAAGCAAACAAGAGTGTTTATGAACTGTTCGTAGATGAAACTGACTTTGTGTCATTAGATGAAAGGTCTTTATATGATGAATATAAACAATATTGTCAAGAATATGGTTATATGGCAGCTTCTAAACGTACATTCTTGGCAAATGTCAAAAGTCTTTTAGATGTTCAGAATGGTGTATATACAAAGAAAAATTTTTCTGAGTAAATTTAAAAAAAATATTTTTTATCCGATAGAAAAGATGACGAAATTCATCTCAGTAAATAAGTACATGACAGAAGTCAAAGAAGAACTAGACCCATTCACATATTTGAATGTTTACTTCTACCATTTTGAAAAGTCTTCATTCAGCAAAGTTTGGAACATCGAACCAGTTAAGTTTGCTATTGTGACTAAAAATGGTGCGAAATTTGAAGACTTAGACATAGAAGGTTTGTTAACAGTCAAAGAAAGTTTTGACAGAAGGTTCTCAAACCTTAAAGAAGGCAAAGCATACAAACTTGTTATACCTTATGAACCAAAGAAGACAGACGACTATGAATATTATGAGTCTAAAGTTGTAGAAGTTCAAGGTAAATTGGGTAAAAAGATTTTAGAGTCTAAGCCAGTGTTTACTCCTAAAGAGGAAGAGAACATTGACATTTGTAATGCATGAAAAATAGCGTGACTTCATTTTTGACAGTTTACAAATGTAAAGTGTTGCATCCTTAAAAACTTGGAAATATATACATTCATGAATTATCTTGTATATTAATTGAAAATCCATAAAACCCTAACAATATTTTTTCTTAAAAAAACTATAAAAATATAAATAAAATTAATCGTTAAATAAAAATATTTGATATTAGAATTTTATTGGAAAAATAAAAAACTTAATATTTTAAAGAAATACTTAAATACTTGAATGTTTTAACTTTTACATTATCATATAGACTCTCAAATTATTAGCCATTTTGGCTGAGAACTATGGTCTGCGAGGTACATAGATAGAATCAGTACCTCGCAGACTATAGTTCTCTATATGGCGCCGAAAATTTTTTGGTGAAATGTCGTCGCATTTCACCAAAAATTTTTCGGCGCCATAGGAAGAATTGGAGGGTGTGAGATACTATTACATGCTATAGTACTCACACCCTCCAACTCCCAATCAAAATCGCATAAAATTTGCTACTTATCTTCAGATTACCTCCCATTATAAAATATATCATTGCTATCTCAGAGATGGATAAAATGCACACATTTGCACACATTTTGACACTTTTTCTGACAAGCATCATTCAAATTTGAAGAAAAACCTCTAAATTTCATTCAAATTTCTGTCAAAATGTGTGCAAAATTGAAATAGGCACACATTTTGACATACGATTATTTATATACGTTATTTTAATGGTTTCAGAGAAATCTTCGTTACACATTATTGAAGATTACTCAATATTTAAGTGAATGACTCACTACCACCTGTTTAGAAAAATGGTAGCATAAAATCCAAATGTCACATATATTATTTCTTATTTCATACAAATAAACTTACAATTATAACCTCAACTTGTTTGCAAAGCAGAAACTCAATATAAGCAATCGATCAGTAGTGTATTTAAAAGTCGAATTTAAATTTAAAAATTTATAATCTTATTTCGGAACCAATTAGTATAAATTTAGGACAAAAAGCTACGTGGTGTTGATAACAACTATTAAAATTCAAATATTACTACCATGAACAATACAATGGCTCATATTGATAATTGATAAACGTGCATATAAATTGCATATATCATCAATGTCATTAAGTAAAATACATGTATATAAATAGATTAGAAATATTTTTCGGTTAGAATTAAAATCTATGTAATAAAAATAAGTTATAAAAATAAATACCGAATTTTTATTTGTAATATAAACTGCTACAATATGCTAGTGTATACAAATGTATTTGTCGTATTGATTTGAAAGATCTTCAACATGGTTCAGATCTAAATTTGAAACTCGTAAAATAAAGCGAATCTTTATTTGTAATATAAACTGCTACAATATGCTAGTGTATACAAATGTATTTGTCGTATTGATTTGAAAGATCTTCAACATGGTTCAGATCTAAATTTGAAACTCGTAAAATAAAGCGAATCTTTATTTGTAATATAAACTGCTACAATATGCTAGTGTATACAAATGTATTTGTCGTATTGATTTGAAAGATCTTCAACATGGTTCAGATCTAAATTTGAAACTCGTAAAATAAAGCGAATCTTTATTTGTAATATAAACTGCTACAATATGCTAGTGTATACAAATGTATTTGTCGTATTGATTTGAAAGATCTTCAACATGGTTCAGATCTAAATTTGAAACTCGTAAAATAAAGCGAATCTTTATTTGTAATATAAACTGCTACAATATGCTAGTGTGTACAAATGTGTTTGTACAAATGTATAACTCTTTGTCAATTGTTATGGCACCTTATAACTTAAAAATCATTTTCATTAACAAATATAAAAAGTGACAATTAATATTTTCATTAAATGCATATTTAATTATCAAAACAATGTCGATTTAGCTTGAATGTTCATTATAAATGTGTAAGTTTAGGAAAACAAAAAATAATTAATTCTCGCAAAGAAACTTATTTTAAAAGAACCTAAACAAAAGTTCATATAATAATAAATCTAAAAATAGATATTAATTTAAACGAAGATAATGAGAGAATGGGGATGTTGTAAAACAATGAGACTTAATGATCAAATAATTAAAATAATAAAATTAATTAAAGGAAAGCTAAAATAGTTTAATGAATTTTTATAGATTGTTACACAATCAATGTTTCTGTGTCAATGTACATCAATCAACATTGTTTCATTGAATTTTGTCTTTCACCAAGAAGATTCAAGAACAAAGTTTTGTAGTTTCAATAGATTGATTACACAATCAATGTTTCTGTGTCAATGTACATCAATCAACATTGTTTCATTGAATTTTGTCTTTCACCAAGAAGATTCAAGAACAAGTTTTCCTCTTTTTCTTTTTTAAATGATTAAAATATTACCTTGCTTCAACTTTACACGTTTTCGTTTACTAAAATTATCTTTTACCTTCACTTATCTTATCATACCCAATTATTCATTTAATTCTATATTTTTCTGACCAAAAATCCTCTCAAATCTCCCTTCTTCTTTCAAAAATTCTATGAGTTTATTCAAATTTCCTTTAAATCTTTGCTAGTCCTTTTTTCTATAAAATTTTTGAAAAAAATTTAAAATTTGCTAAATATATTCTTTATTACTTTGCACTATTTTCCAATTGAAAAATCGTCGATTTTAATCAAATGTAAGATCATCATAATAAAAATTATGAAACTTACCGTGTTTATTAGTAAATTTCAATATGAAGTTGTTATACAAACAGCTGGGACTTTAAATTGAGAAATTGCATAATTCCATCTACAAATTTTGGTCTAGACAATAATCATTGATAAATTATAATATATGTATTATGTGTATTTACATTGCATATATAACAATTTCAATTTCTATATTAAATTGTTATTTGATATCAGCTATATTTGTTCAGGTAAAATGAAGTGTAAAAATATAATTCATGAATTACATATATATATATTATTTTTATTATTAAAATCAAATTCAGATTTATAAATTAAGGTTATTCATTTTTGATATGGTTATCACGCTCAAATATGGAAATAAAATTAAAAAAGTCAATACTCCTCAAGAAATACATTGTCTATCATTATATCTATATGCTTCCAAAGTATTTCATCTTAAACTAAAGACTTTTATATTACAAAAAGATTCAAAGAAGATACAATTGTTTAATTATGTTAAACATTATTCAGATATGACAATTGAAATAAAAGAGTCAAAAAAGCCTCTAAACTATTTGACAATCCAATAATTTCTTCAACTAAACTATCAAATTTGGAGGATTTAATAA